GGGCCCCACGTTGGGCGCCAATTTGTGACCGTGAAATTTCTTATTTTTTTTCTGAACGGGCAAGTTATTAAGAGAACCGATGGTGTTGGTCCACGGCACACCTTCGGCACGATCACCCTCCGTCAACTCGGCGATCGCACCAAAAAAAAAGAACAAAAATTTCTGAACGCCAGGCATCCGAATATCCGCGCCGCGCGAAATTAATCGCAAAAAAAATCGAAGGGCCGATCGTGACGGCCCGAAATCTCGGTAGCTCACGCAAACGATGTCGGTAGAGGCGTGAAGTTCGCGGAGAGCGGGGGAGAGGAGGTCGAGAACGGTTGTAACACTGAGAGAAAACTAGTAATCATAAAAATTCGTAACATATATTTCGTCGAGAAAAGAAAATCGAATAAAATAAAAAATGTATTTAATCATATGGTTGCCATTCCGACATAATTTCACGCGCACAACCAGTCGCAATTCGGTGAAATTTGTTTTATTTACGGCGTCTTATATTACGGCGGCGAGTCCCGTGAGCGAGACAAGGACAGCGCTATCGATGCGCACGGCCGCGATCAAGAGCGAGCGAGACAGAGCATGGATCACGCGGTCGATGCGTGTCTATTGTGAAAAGCCGGGAAAGACAAATAGATTATTAGCCGACGGGTTAATGAAGGTGCAATTAATCGCACTCGCGATACTATTCTCGCCCGCCCGAGATCTACCCGATAGCAATCGATACTTCGCGAGCCCCGCGCGATGGAATGCGGCAGGGCGTACGGCGCAATACAACGACGTTACGTTAATACGACGAGTTTCGGTCGAAACATAAAAATTTTCCGACAAACTACGACAGCCGAAACGCACAGATTATGCTAACAACGACGAAATAAGCTCACTACGACGATAGATCTCACGAAAACGCGGACAATTTACAATATACGACAACGCGAAATATGACACGGTGACTGGAGGCGTTCCCCGGGGAAGCAGCGGTTCTGCAACAAAAGCTCGAACGAATCACTCGGTCCCTCTATTATTCGCGTGTTTCCCAAAATCGCGAAAGAACGGAGACGTTAATGGCGTATGGACCACGTGCGACAAACGCGAATAATCGATATTATCTGATACGTAAAATCGAGGGCCCGACACAATTCACCAGAGCGGCAGCGAAATTGTTGGCCTTACAGAAAGATCGTCTCACCAGAATGGTCCTTGAAGATCGTCAACAGAAAAAACTCTCGGTATTCTCAACGGGATCTGCGTCCTTTTGCGTCGCTAGTCCGCCGAACAGTGAGGTGCGTGAGATCCGCGGGAGAAACGTCGGCGATCGTTTCCCCCGATTTTCCTCGCCGAATCTAATTGGCGCAGGGCCGTGTCGCGCCCTTCACGGGCCGATTCTTATCACGGCCGTAATTCTGCTGTATGGGTCCCGGAAATTCGGCCGCAAAGAGAAATACTCTCGGCAGCAAACGCCCCTTGCCCCGCCTGACTTCCTCGGGGCTCGGGAAATCCTCCGGTCATCCTTTCAGTTATTTCAATTACTCAGTTGTTTAATGCAAAATAATTTGAAACGGTCCACTTTTCTTGACGCCCCGGAACGGCTCGTCGGATAGCCAGGATTCGAGCAAAGGGGGAGAAATAAATCAACTTGTGCGAACATTATCTTAAAACTAGATGTGTTTTTATTGAATGAATGTATTATGTACAAGATGTGTATGCGAGAGTATAAATGTCGATGTGATTGTGCGTACAATAATTAAACTTGAAAATAATATCCGGTGTACAAACGAAAACGGTAAGTCTTGCGCGGGTAAGTAATATACAACGGATAGACGAGAAACGCGTATAACTAGTATCGGACGATCACGGAAACGCGGACTTAATCTACGGAAACGTGACGGGTACTCGGGACGGACACGGAAACTAGGACTAGTGTTGTATCGTCGACGGGGCTGGTTGTCAGGACGGCTCAGAGATGCCGGCGACACCCCATGCAGTCGGGCAATGCCTCGACTGAGACTGCGTACAGGGAAACCGGAGTTACCCGGTGGATCGGACGATAAGTCGTCTCGGACTGGATCCGGGAAAACCGGAGACACCCGGTGGATCGAGGAACACCTCGACCGGGAATGGTACAGGATTCGGAATTACTCGGCGGGAGTCGAGAGACACCTCAACCAGGATCGGCTTCAGAAAGCCGCAGACACCCGGCGGATCGAGTAACGCCTCGAGCGGGATGGGATGACCGACACTGGAGACACCCGGTCGAGCTGAGGAGCACCTCGGCCCGGGCGAGATCTGGTCAGGATCTGGCCTCGATGTACTGGTCGTGTCGGCTCGTATACCGGCCGGAGATTCCCCTACCTGGTGAATCACTCAGATGGGGCACGACTGCGAAAATTCGCGAATATTCGGACAGAGCGAGAGGGAGAGAGCGAGACAGCAAGCGCAAAGCGATGAGAGCAATCGATGAAAGCAAGCGAGACAGCGAGCGTGCGAGCGAGGAAGCGTACGAGCATGCATGGTTGTGAGCGAGATAGCGGGAAGTTAGCGGGTGCGGTTAAGCAAGCGAATAAAGAAGTAATTATATTTTATTAAATAACGACAAATAGGAACGAGGCGCGGGCGCATCGTTACAAATTAATTTACTTTATAATTAAATTAAACGGGATTATTTAATTAACAGAAGAAGAATTACACTTCATTTTTATAGAACATCATCGCTTCAATGAATTGATAGCGTCCATTAGATTTTGTATTCAAGAAAATCCTTATTTGAATGTGCAACAAATAACTCTACAAGCAAATAAGATTAATAAGACTAGTAAAATTTAGTAAGTTAAAACAAATAAATGAAAAACAAAGCTGTGAATAGTGTGCAACAGATTGAAAAAAGCTTTATTTATTTAACGTTAAATTCCTGTCGCCAGTAGATAAAATAAAAGACGAAATTTAAATCGACCACACTGGCAATTTTTGGTTGACAATGTATCACAACGTTCCGACCATGGATTTTGGTCCTTAACAAGTGAACTCAAAATTGTTTCCAGTATTATAAACAGAAAATAAATCACAGTAATTTCAAATAAAAAGTGAACAGAAAATTATATACAATATCTTAGTTAACTATTATATTGTGAGAAATAAGGAACTCACTGTGTCAAGATTTCATCATATCAACCTCTCCATGAAACAGAGAAAGACAAAACAAACTTTATTAGTCTATCATAAATATTGTTTAAATTCTCAATGTCCTTTTGTAAGTTAATAATGTTGTCAAACTTTTGATAAAAAACATTTCAGCAATTTCTCTCTTCCTCACATGTTTTTCATTGTGAAAAATAACCGGTATTGACCAATTAAAGTCGTGATTAAATTCCAATTTATGTTTGCTAATTACAGAAAGATTACTTTCATGCAATTTAATGTCGTTAAAATGTTTTTTGACACGAGTGCCTAAATGTCTTTTCGTTTGGCCAATATATGACGTATTACAATTTTTATAGTATAATTTATAAACGACTTCAGTCCTGCTATTAATAGGCAATCTATCATTTCCACGTTTAATCAATGCATTAAGTTTTTTAGGTAAATTATAGACAACAATAAGACGTTTATTTATTTAAATATGAAAAAATAAAATTATAAAAATAAGTAGTACATAATAACGCATTATATATTACGCATAATAATGCATAATATTCTGTATCTTCATTGATTCATGGTTTTCTTCTTTATATTTTTCATACACACTGAGTGTTCGCGAGTGAACGCGGATTGTTGCGACAGCGCGAGGTTTTGAACACGCGGCAGACGGATAGCCGCGAACAGAGTATTTAACGCAAAAACTTCACACGACACGTAATTCTTTTTTTGGTTTTTGAGTTTTATTTTCACCACACAAATGACAGTTTATACAAAAAATGAACATATATTTTAGATGCCGAAATAATAAAGAGAAGTCCGAGAAACAAAGCGGTCGACGTATTTTGCGGTTGAACAATGCGGTTTTCTAAGCGGTTTAAAGTACTGCGAGCAGCGATAAGTGCGAGACTTCGAAAAGTGCAAGACTTCGACTGGTCCACGCGCGGTGCCCATTATAAAGCGAGCGGATTTTTGGGCCCGCTTCGACGTGGACCAATTAATTTAATCATTTAGCGGTGACACTGTTGCGGCGTGTGCCATTGGTCGTCAATGACGTCTCACGATGGATGTCGTTTGTTTTTCGTGCGCGCAATCTTTTTAGATCAGCTGATTGGCGATCAGCTGATCGTGACGCATGGGCGCGCATGCCCATGAGCGGCGTAAATTTTAACGGCGGTTGACAATAATATTGTCAGCGGTAATAACGAGCGTTTTTTCTGGTGGCAAAAAGCAAGAAAACTCGAGCGTTCGAGCTTTTTTTCGAACAATAAGTATTTCGAGAAGATTCTCGACGCCCGTTAATTTTAAATTCTCGTAATTTATTAGCGAAAAGATGCGAATTTCGATATGCGTTTTTTGAACTCGAATGATCATTTCAATTTTGAACATCCCGCCCGCCTCGTCAGTACGTGACGAAATTTTTGAGTGTGTGCGGTTACAAACAGGTGTCGCGAGCTGTGCTATTGAGAGATGTGAAATGAGTGATGAATGGAATGCGAAGTGACGTAAAGAGAAGACACGTGTTAGACAGTTGTGATAATTCTTTCGCGAGAATAAGTAGTGCGGTGTTTGTGAGATACATAAAGTGATACTGTGAATGATTTTGTGAGTGCAGTGAAAGTTGAGAGTGACAGTGGTTTTTAAGCAATCGCAAGTGAGATGCAGTGATGAGTGAAATTTGACGCGGAGTCCGAAGAAAGAAAAGTTAATGAAGCGGCTCGGATGATATAAAAAATGTGATTGATGAATGTGATAGCGCGCGGCGCGATTATCGGAGGTAACGCACGACGGCCGTGATAAACAATTCCGTGGACGGACAATTTATTGAAAAAAAACAAATAAATTAAATAAAACACGGTGCTCTGTTTCGCTCACGAATCCGGGTGCATTGATGCTGCGGTGTCGGCTCCAGGCAGGAGGACGATCTTGATGAGAGGCCGGACAAGCTCCGAAGATACGGTGCGTACAGTGACCACGCGCGTCACGCCGTCGTCCCCAGGGTGCAGCTTGGTGATCCGAGCGAGTGGCCATCGGGTTGGTGGAGTGATGTCCGACCGCACTAGACACAGTCCGCCGACGGTGGGACTTGCTGTGTCCTTCAACCACTTTGGTCGGGAAGCCAGTGAGTTGATGTACTCCCGCGACCACCTTTCCCAAAAGTGGTCGCGCATCCGTTGGAGAAGTTTCCAGCGGGACAAGAGGTTGACGTTGACGTCTGCCAGTAAAGGTTCGGGCACTGCCAGCAAAGGAGCCCCGATTAGAAAATGACCCGGAGTGAGCGCCGTTAAGTCGTCGTGGTCATCGGACAGCGCCTGAAGTGGACGAGAGTTGAGGCACGCCTCCACCTGAGCGAGGAATGTAGACATCTCCTCGAAGGTGAGGGTCGTGTCTCCTAGAACTCTTCGCAGGTGGTGTTTGGTGGATTTCACCGCTGCCTCCCAAAGCCCGCCGAAGTGAGGTGCCGCCGGCGGATTAAATCTCCACCGTATTCCGTTGGACGCTGCTGTGTGGGCGATGCGCCGGCCGTCGGATGACGACGCCTGGAACAGGAGTCGCAATTCTCGGTTGGCGCCGACAAAATTTGTGCCGCAATCCGAGTAGACTTCCTCGCAGAGGCCCCGACGGGAAGTGAAGCGCCGGAATGCAGCGAGGAATGCGTCCGTGGAATAATCCGACGCGGCTTCCAGGTGTACGGCCTTGGTAGTGAGGCAGATGAAAACTGCGATGAAGCCTTTGTGCGATTTGTGTCCTCTCCCCTTGGTGGTTCGGATCAGGATCGGCCCGGCGTAATCGATTCCAGTCCGCAAGAATGGACGTGCTGGAGCGACTCGCGCCGTCGGAAGGTCGCTCATCATGGGCTGCGGCACTGCAGCCTTCCATCTTGCACACGTTACGCATTGGTGGATGACCCTCTTGACGATGGAGCGACCTCGAGGAATCCAATATCGTAGGCGGAGCAGGCCGAGAGTGAGCTGGACCCCGCCATGGAGAGTTCGTCTGTGATGAGCCCTGACGAGAAGATGTGTCAGCCACGAAGCCGAAGGTACGATGATTGGGTGGCGCTCATCATCTGAGAGCACTGCGTGCTTCAGCCGGCCCCCAACTCGAAGGATTCCATGAATGTCGAGGAAGGGGGTCAAATTAGCTAGCTGACCCTTGACTAACCCTTTATTCTGTTTTAGGGCGGTGATCTCCTTGGAGAAATGGTGAGATTGCACCAAGCGGAGCCAACGGAGCAGGGCCGCCTCCAACTCGTCGGCCGTGAGGTTGAGGTGAGCCTTGGAGCTCGGTTGTTTGCCTCTCCATCGGCAACACCAAGCTGTGATTCTCAAGAGGCGATGGAGGTCGGAGAACCTGATGAGGATCTCCGGTTCGGTCCTCCGTGCAGACGTCAAGTGAGAAGTGATTGCTCTCGTCTCCGGCACCTCGACGTCCTGGATGGCGTGGTCGTTCTGTGGCCAGAGCGACGGATCCTCGACGAGCCATGGGGGTCCCGTCCACCATAGAGAGTGGTTGAGAAGATCCCGTGGCTCAATCCCTCGAGAAGCGCAGTCGGCAGGGTTGACTCGTCCTGGGATGTGTCGCCATCGTGCCTCTGGAAGCTTCGTCTGGATGTGGGACACCCTGTTGGCCACGAAAGTCTTCCACCTGGAGGCATGACCCTGGATCCATTGGAGAGTCACCCGGGAATCCGACCATAAAGTGACTGGAGCTGAAACCAAGCCTAAGGTCTTGCGGAGATGGAAAGTCAGGTTAGTGACTAGCACTGCGGCGCACAATTCTAAACGCGGTAGAGACACGGGCTTAATGGGTGCAACCTTGCTTTTTGCAGCAAGCAGGCTACTGATTGAAGCGGAGGAGCCCGCCACGCGGAGGTAGACGGCTGCTGCGTAACCTCGCTCCGATGCGTCAGCAAACCCGTGGAACTCAACTTGTGGCTGCTCGTCAGTATTCAGCCATCGTTTTAGCCGAAGCTGCTCCAACAGCGGAAGGTCGTCAAGGAGGCGTCTCTATAAAGTCTCATCTGACTTAAGCAGTGGGGAGTCCCAATCCAGGTGCTTCATCCAGGCTGACTGAATGAGAATCTTGGCACGAGCAACGACTGGAGTTAACCAACCTAGAGGGTCGAAGATCCGAGCCGTCTCTGCCAAGACCAGTCGCTTCGTCAGCGATCCAGTTGCACGAGGCTGAAGTCGGAACGTGAAGAAGTCGCTGCGGGGGTGCCATCGCAGGCCCAGCGTTGGATGAGCGTCGTCCTCCCAATCGTGATGAGGCTGCTGGAGTTGATGCTCCCTTGGGATGTCCTCGAGGATGGGCTCGTGATTTGAGGACCACTTTCTCAAGGGGAACCCGCCCGCCATGCAGAGCCGGCGTAACTGCCTCTGCGTTTCGACTGCCTCGGACAGAGTACTGGCGCCGGTGACGATGTCATCAACGTAGCAGTCGCGCCGCAAAACGACAGCTCCCTTGGGATTTCCGGGCTCTTCGTCGTCGGCTAATTGGCGAAGAGTTCTGATCGCTAGGAAAGGGGCACAGGCCAATCCGTACGTCACGGTGTTGAGCCGATATTCCTGGATGTTGTCGGTGCCTTGCCGTCTCCACAGGATCCGCTGCTAGTCTCGGTCTTCGGGGTGCACGAGAATCTGCCTGTACATCTTCTCGATGTCAGCGACGAAGACGAAACGGTGCCAGCGCCAGCGAAGCAGGACATCAGCGAGAGTTGGCAGAAGGTTAGCTCCGACCAGCAAACTCTTATTAAGGGAGTCTCCGGCAGGCGTGCATTGAGATCCGTTGAAGACAACCCTTAATCTGGTGGTTGTGCTCGCAGTTCGGAGCACGCCGTGATGCGGTAAGTAGCATACTGGTGTATTGCTCACAAGCGGTGTATTGACCAAAGTCATGTGCTTCAATCTTGCATATTCTTCTAGGAAGTCGCAGTAGAGCATGTCGAAGTCATCGTCTCTGGAACGACGTCGCTCCATTGCCGCGAGAAGTCGCTCGGCGGATTTTCGTGTATGGGTGAGAGGTGGCAGAGAGCCAGCCAGCGGCAGTCGTACCTGGTACCTCCCGTCTTCTTGGCGCTCGTGAGTGCGACTGAAGATATCTTCGCATCGTTCTTCATCTGGTGTGAGGGCGACGGAAGCAGGCTGTTCCCGTTCTTGCTTCCAAAATCTTAGAACCAGATCGTTCAGGTCTTGGTCGAGAGTACACTGGAGGGAGCTGACGACGCCATTAGATGTCACCACTCCGCAGCCTCCTGACAAGATCCACCCGAATGTCGTCCTCTGCGCGACGGGTTGGTCCTCGCGGCCCTTTCGGAGTCCATCGAGAAGGATGGAGGAAAAGACATCGGCGCCGAGGAGAAGATGAATCGGGTCTCGCTGCAGATAGTGTGGATCCGCCAAAGTGAGGCCGTGAATGTGCCTCCACGTGGTGGAGCCCCGAACTGCTGGCCCCTGGTAGGAAGACAATCTTGGAAGGACGTAGGCGACTACAGTGAGAGGTGCTCCAGTCGCCTTTGACTTTAATGCGAGCGTGATCCTTCCGCGAGTGGATCCTGACCGTGCTCCAACACCGATTACCGACATTGAGCAGTGAGTGCGCGCCAGCCGCAGGCGCTGAGCTAAATCTTCTGAGACGAGAGACACCTCGGATCCTTGATCGAGCAGAGCTCGCACGTCGTGAGGTTGTCCCGAGCGGTCATTGAGGATGACGCGCACCGTGGCGAGAAGAGTCGCCTTGTGATCGTGTGCAGTGTGTGTGGTTGAAAAAGTGCTTGCCTCTTGTGTCGATGTTGGTGTCGCGTACGCGTCGTGCAACAATGTGTGGTGCCGCGATTTGCAAGTAAAGCACGTTTTGACGGAGTGACATTTCGCCATCACGTGATTTCCGAGGCAATTAAAACAGAGCCCGCTTGTGTCGACGAATGACTTTCTTTCGCTCGCGGACTTGGACTTGAACTCAGGGCACTGCATGAGTGTGTGCTTGCCCTTGCACGCGGCGCACTTGGAAGCGTCGAACCCGTTCCTCACGAAGTGAGACTTAGCGGACCGTGAGGTTTCCCCAGCGTTCTTCGTGGCGTTCTTCGGTTTAGCGGCGTTTAAAGTAAGGATCCTTTTGCTTATGAAGTTTACGAGAGCCTCGTGAGTTGGCGGGTCGAGGGAATCGCTCGTGGAAGATTCCCATTCGAGACGTGTTCGCGAGTCGAACAACTCAATCACTAGGTGATTGAGGAGATTCATCCCATGCGAGTGGATGGGTCTTCCTATACTCTCCTGCGCGTTGACGGTGGCCGTGACAGCGTGATGGACGCGACTCAGCTCTTCAGCGGACTCAGACTTCATCTTTCCGACGGCAGTGAAGGTAGAGAAATTTAAACGCATGAGTTCCCTTTTATTTTCAAAATGTTTAGCCAAGATCGCCCACGCGCGGTCGTAATTCTCGCTTGTGACAGTTAATGATCTAATTAATTTCTCCGCAGATCCTTTGACGCAGGAGCGAAGATAGTGGAACCGCTCAATATTTGAGATCGACGAATTTTCTCCCACGAGAGACAAGAAGAGATCCCGGAAGGAAGGCCAGTCTTCATAGGCGCCTGAGAACGGCGGCAATTTTATACGCGGCAACGCGGTTTTAGGAGAAGACTCCGACTTCGGCTCGATTCTGTGTGCGACACCTGACTCGGCGCTCAGCCTGTCAGCATAGTCGCTCAACGTGCTTCGCTGAGAAACGTACGTACATTCCGCGGTATCTATAAAGTCACTTTTGGCGTACTCACTCTCCATGTATCTGTCTTTAAGCGCCGCTCGTATCAGCTCGTGTTGAGCCTCGAATTTCGCCCAGAGGTTGTCGAGGATGGTGAGGCGAGCCTGGATGGCCCCGGCGGTGATGTTGGTGACGCCCATCTTCCGGATGTTATCCACGGACCGAGACATTCGTCCGTGGATATCGGTTTGAGCCTCTAACAGTACTTTCAGGTCGGCACTCATTGTTCACTTATTTGTTTGTCTGTTTCAGCACTGCACAGCACTGGAAACGTCACCCACGAAACTGCGGATGCGGATATAATCCGGCTCGAAGGACCAAAAATGTTCGCGAGTGAACGCGGATTCCTGCGACAGCGCGAGGTTTTGAACACGCAGCAGACGGATAGCCGCGAACAGAGTATTTAACGCAAGAACTTCACACGACGTAATTCTTTTTTTGGTTTTTGAGTTTTATTTTCACCACACAAATGACAATTTATACAAAAAATGAACATATATTTTAGATGCCGAAATAATAAAGAGAAGTCCGAGAAACAAAGCGGTCGACGTATTTTGCGGTTGAACAATGCGGTTTTCTAAGCGGTTTAAAGTACTGCGAGCAGCGATAAGTGCGAGACTTCGAAAAGTGCAAGACTTCGACTGGTCCACGCGCGGTGCCCATTATAAAGCGAGCGGATTTTTGGGCCCGCTTCGACGTGGACCAATTAATTTAATCATTTAGCGGTGACACTGTTGCGGCGTATGCCATTGGTCGTTAATCACAATGGATGTCGTTTGTTTTTCGTGCGCGCAATCTTTTTAGATCAGCTGATTGGCGATCAGCTGATCGTGACGCATGGGCGCGCATGCCCATGAGCGGCGTAAATTTTAACGGCGGTTGACAATAATATTGTCAGCGGTAATAACGAGCGTTTTTTCTGGTGGCAAAAAGCGAGAAAACTCGAGCGTTCGAGCTTTTTTTTCGAACAACAAGTATTTCGAGAAGATTCTCGACGCCCGTTAATTTTAAATTCTCGTAATTTATTAGCGAAAAGATGCGAATTTCGATATGCGTTTTTTGAACTCGAATGATCATTTCAATTTTGAACACTGAGTATTATGATCAAATGATAACATGATACACGTTAAACTTTAATCTCTTGTGCACGAGTCACACGAGTCATGGCTGTATACATTGTGGGGCCGGTAGTGGAAAGTAAAATATTGAGTCGATAAGATAGTGAAAAAAAATTGTAAAATATTTGCAACTTGATAGTAAAAGAATGGTCTTATAACGATTTAATTCAAGGTAAGCGAAGTTGAATGAACTTAAAACACACACATACTCTCTCTCATCATTCACTGTCCGGTCAAAAGCCAATCCAATATGTGTGATAAGCCAAAGGCCCGCTAGGCATCGGTAAATCCATTTGAATTCTCGATGTTGCCCGACTTTCACCGTCGCCCGCGTGGAGATGGGCACGGCGCGTGAGCGTCATACACTCTTTCGAAAGTCTTAATGTTTTTAATTTTATTTTTAATTTCATTTTCAATTTTATTTTTTTCATTTTACATGCAGATACATAAAAAGATATAACACGTACAATTATAAAATTACAATTTATTTCAGTCATATTGTATACAAGTGAACGAACAAAATGCGGAACAAAATAATGCTACTGCTATTGCTAGTCCTCTTCTTCGTCTGACTGCAACGAGCCAAATGAGGCAACCTCTTCCCTTTCTAGATCCCTAGAAAAGGAAGGAGTAGATGGCGGAGTAGAGGGCGGAGAATACGAAGGTGATCTCGGCGGAGAGCCGAGAACAACATCCTCTTGTTCTTCCACCTCCTCATCCTCCTCCATCTCCTCCTCTTCGACCTCGTGTTCAAAATTCTCTTCTTCCATCATTTCATCCCATAGCCAATATGCCGGACATTTTGTTACTATTTTACCATCTGGATTCAATACCATGATGTTTTACCTTTTATTAGTATTAGGAGCCGAATACGTCCGGTATTCAGTCTGTTGCGGTTTTATATACCGAGGCTGCCTCAATTCTCTTATGCGAAATGGTTTGCCTCTGCTACCATCTGTCGGCTCGCCTCGAACTGAAGGCCTTAGGGCTCGCACCGCCGTACGCGTAGCGCATGCATGACTTGGAGTGCAGTAGGCGCTGAATGTGTGGTAGATCGTAGTCGCCGCAGTAATATAGTTATAATAATATCTTATAATAGATAACATATATATATATATATATATATATATATATATATATATATATATATTGTGACGTTGCCGTCCTGTCGCGCGTCCATCTGCCCCGATAAGTTTAACGGGCCGAGCGGTCGCGCCAGAATCTGCATCGAGAGAACATAGCCGCCACAGTAATATAGTTATAATAATATCTTATAATAGATAATATATATATATATATATAATATATATATATATATATATATATATTGTATATCTGGAGAAGACTTAATATATATATATATATATATATATATATATATATATTAAGTCTTCTCCAGATATACAATATATATATATATATAAGAAAGAAAAGAAGAAAGAAAAGAAAAGATATTGGTCGAAACAGTAGAAAAGCGATACGCACATTGTACTAAAATGTGCTCTCGAAAAAGAAAATCAATAGAAACTTCTAAATCAACAGATAATGCACAGACATTAGAAGCAACGAGAAAGCAATTACACAGTAAATAACAAAAAATGACAAATTTTGCTGTAGTAAATAATCAACACATTTCCAAAATATAATTAATACGTCATCCAATAATCAAACATTACAGGCTAATATATTACCGGTCTCTCAAGAAATTTAAGAATCTGATATTGATATGCATAGAAATAAATTATTACAATTTTATTCAACTATATGGTCCTTTGCAGGTATCGCTTGTAATATTTGTAAAAAAATTATATTATAAAAAACAATTATGTGTTACAAAAATGTTTGTTACAATAGCAGATATTTTTCCTAGTGTGCTACGTGAATTAAATGAAATAATTACATGTTTCCGTTGTGCTAATTTAATAAAAAGGCTTCCAACACAAGCATGATAGTAATGTTATGTTTTTCAGAAGAAATTCCAGATGTTACACGAAATTTATTGATATGGAACAAAGACTTTTATTAAGTATCATTCCATTTCTAAAAATTATTAAATTAGGTGGACGATCAGGTCAATCAGGTGGACGATTTGGTCAATCAGGTTTTCAAGGACAAGCTTTATTTGCACAAGATATAGAAGAAATTACCATTATCAATTGCAAGAACAGGCATAATTATTGTATATGAACAACTGGAGAATGTTGAACGATGCCGACAATTCCAAATAAACGTGCAAAATTTATCAATTGCTTTATTATGGTTGGAAAAAAATAATCCTTTATATCGAAATATTAATATTAATCTTGATGTTACAAATTTTGACATTTCACAAATATGTCAAGTAATTGTAACACAGGGTAATGACATGAATATTGATGTAAATAATTGTGTTCCATCCGAAGTGCAAACCTCAAATCAAAGACAGATTTAATCGAAATTTCTGGGAATAAAGCAATAATCAGTGGTTCCATACATCAACATTATGATATGCTTTGTGATGTTACTAGAGGGAAACAATGCACTGCATCCGACATCTTCCTACACATCCCCTATCTTTCTCTGGACTAATCAGTATACTATAACTACTATCCTCATATGCATTATAATGAACAAAGTCAAATAGATGATAGGAATATTGAGAGCGCAGTAGATTTAAATTTAAATATTCATAAGAATATTGAGAATGCTGCAGATTTAAATTTAAATATTGAAACAGCAATAATGATATTGTTATTACGTCTTCAGTTTTGTAGCCAATTGATGAAATTATACCTGATGTTCAATCTGTTTTTGAAAAAGAAGTAGAAGATGCTCCGTTATACACATTGTGGCGAAAAACTACAGAACCTATACAAATGCATATTGAATTTCGAGCTAAATAATTAGCTTGGTTTTGCTTTTTCCGAAAGGACGGGGAATGGACTTCATGAACCATCACGACAATATACTATATAACGCCATTAGATTATTGTCAAGTACGTATTATATGTCAGGATTCCAAATTTCGACGAAATGACTTATTTTATTCGTTAATGAATATTATCGAACTCGGCCAAATGTTTGCGTTTGTTTTAGATAGATTAAGGCAAGGAAATACTATTCCTGAAAGTCTTGTACAAAATTTGCGTATTAATATGAGAGCTTTACGTGGCTCTTATTGACAAACAGCATGTAGTGATTTAATTGCTATGGTTCGTAATTTTCGGCCCACTACAATGGTTTTTAATATTAAGTTGCAACGATCTTAATTGAAAAGATATATTGAAAGCATGTCTTATTGCAGCTGGAAGAAAAGGGAAAAATATAAATAACTTGCAATTTGATGAAAAATAACAATTAATTGTTGAGCATTTGGTAGCATTATCTCGTCATTTTATGGTTCGTGTTCATGCTATCGTATATTGTAAAATGATGAGATTTTGTTAGGTGGAAAATTAATAGGTTTCTGGTAGAGAGTAGAATTTCAAAATAGAGGTAGTCCACACTAACATATGAGTAGGTATACTATGTCAGTTCTAACCCAGGACCTCTCAGGGGGGTTGAGGCGGGAGGGGAACCGCGGTGCGGGGGGAGTGATGTCACCCGCGGGGAAGGAGGATCCGCGGCGCGAGCGATGGACGAGGGGATCCGCGCGGTAAAGGGGGATCCGCGGCGCGAGCGATGGACGAGGGGATCCGCGCGGTGAAGGGGGATCCGCGGCGCGAGCGATGGGCGAGGGGCGAGGGGGTCCGCGAGGTGAAGGAGATCCGCGGCGCAAGCGATGGATGAGGGGGTCCCCGCAGTGAAGAGGGATCCGCGGCGCGACCGATGGACGGTGGTGTGAGAAGGACAGCGCTACGTATGGGAAAAAGACAGTGCAAAGTATATGAAGAGGACAGTGCTACGAGTGCGACAAGGATGGCGTTAACGTGGGACAAGGACGACGCAAAGGTAAGTGAACAACGAGTATATATTCTAGCGAAAGAGAGAAAACGATAATATCGAGAATAACAACGCGTGCGAGAGAGAACAATAGCACAAGAACAACGCGAGTGAGAGAGAATGCATATGAAAGAGAGAACGGTAGCGCCAAGACGACGTGTACAAGAGAGAGAACGATAATAGCG